GAGCGAGGGAAAGAGGTAGAGCTCAGAGGCGCGCTGGAGGGCAGCCACAACCGGTGACCACGATCCCCCCCCTCCTCCCCTCCCCCCTCCCCCCCCCCCTCACGCCTCCCTCCCTGTCCAGTGGTGAAAAAGGTCAAGGTGGCCGGGCTCTCGGCAGCCGAGGTCGACAGGGCTCGGACTACGTATGGGTCGAATGACCTGCCGGCGGCAGAGGTCGACTCGTTCTGGGACAAGCTCCAGGAGAACTTTGACGACCCACTGATCCGCATCCTTGTGCTCGCGCTGGCGGTGACGATGGTGCTGGCCGGGCTCGGGTATGCCGACTACCGTGAGGGCATCGGAATTGCCGTTGCAGTCTTCCTGGCCACGTTTGTGGCCACGTACTCGGAGTTTAAGAACGAGGCCTCGTTCCAGGAGCTGCAGGAGAAGGCTTCGCGCATCAAGTGCATGGTCTTCCGCTCGGGCGAGCTCGTCGAGGTCGAGATCGCTGACGTCGTTGTCGGCGATTCGGTCCTGCTGCAGGCCGGCAACCGTGTGCCGGCCGACGGTTTTATTGTTGATGGCGCCGTCGAAGTCGTCCAGGCCTCGCTCACCGGCGAGTCGGACCCCATCACTAAGAAGACCGTGCCCGAGGGCTACACACCCGACGGAACGCCAACCGACGAGCTGATGGCCGGCAACCACCACGCGTTCCGCGGCTCGCTCGTCGACTCGGGCGAGGCCATCATGCTTGTCTCGCACGTCGGCGTCGAGACCGTGTTTGGCAAGCTCTCTGTCGAGATCTCGTCCATCGAGGAGCGCGAGGCGCCGCTGACCATCAAGCTCGCTGCGCTCGCCGACGGCGTGGCCAATGTCGGCTACATCGGTGCGACCTTTATTGCCGTCTCGTTCCTCTTTAAGCAGTTTGTCATGGACAACGGGTACTCGCTCTCGGCTACCATTGCGTACGCCTCCAACTGGCAGATTGCGCTCCACGATGTCGTGACCTCGATCATTCTCGCCATCATTGTGGTTGTCGTCGCGGTTCCCGAAGGCTTGCCCATGATGATTGCCATTGTGCTCTCGCTCAACATGCGCAAGCTCCTTGCCGACCAGGTCCTTGTCCGCCGTCTTCTCGGCATCGAGACTGCTGGCTGCATGAACATGCTCTTCTCCGACAAGACGGGCACCATCACCTACGGCGTCTTCCAGCCCAAGCTCCTCATCTCGGGCTCGGCGAGCTTCGAGACGTTTGCGCAGGTGCCAGAGGGCCTCTCCGAGGTGCTTGCCCTCGCGCTGCGCGAGTCGTCGTCGGCCATCGTCTCGTCCAACGGCGAAGACATTGTGGGCGGTAACTCGTCGGACCGTGCTCTCCTCCGGTTCCTCTCGCGCAACGCGCTCCTCGACTACTCGGGCTTCCGCGTGGAGCGCGAGGACGCAATTCTCTTCTCCTCGGTCCACAAGTTCTCGGCTGCCCAGATCGCGTTCTCCGAGGACGATGCCGACGGGCTTCTCACTTCGTCGCTTGGCCCGCTCTCGTCGTCGGGCGCGTTCTTTGATCCGGCGCCGGCCTCGGCTGCCGCCGGCGCCTTTGCCGCCATCTCGCTCTACAAGGGTGCGGCTGAGCTTGTGCTCTCCAAGTGCTCGTCGTACCACGACGAGAACACCGGCGCGGTTGTCCCGCTCAAGCGCCGCGCCATCTCGTCGGTCCTCTCCTCGGTCGACGAGCTTTCGGCCCGTGGCTACCGCTTCATTGCCGTCGCCACCTCGTCGAGCCCGCTCGCCGCCGCCCGCGTCGAGAAGCCGTCGGGCGGCAGCTCGCTCGAGCTCCCCGGCGACCTCACCCTCGTCGGCGTCATTGGCATGACCGATGAGATCCGCCCCGAGTCGCCCGAGGCCATGCGCGTCGCCGAAGAGGGCGGCATCCATGTCATTATGGTCACCGGCGACCGCGCCGAGACCGCCGCGGCCATTGCCCAGCAGGTTGGCCTCCTCCCGCCGGGCGAGGGCCTCGAATCGGTCCTCACCTCGTCGGACATGGCCCGCATGAGTGACGACGAGCTCGCCGCCCGCCTGCCCACCCTCCGTGTTGTTGCACGTGCCCTCCCCACCGACAAGTCGCGCCTGGTGGCCCTCGGCCAGCGTGGCTCGGGCGTTGTCGGCATGACCGGTGACGGCGCCAACGACACTTCGGCACTCAAGGCCGCCGACGTCTCGTTTGCCATCGGTGATGGCGCCGAAATCGCCAAGGAGGCCTCCGACATTGTCATCCTCGACTCCAACTTTGCGTCGATCATCCGTGCCGCTCTCTACGGCCGCACCATCTTCAAGTCTATCCGCAAGTTTGCCAACTACCAGTCGATCATCAACGTCGGCTCGATGCTCCTCTGCTTCCTCGGCCCTTTGTCGGCTTTGACTTTCCGCTCACCCTCATCCAGCTCCTCTGGATCAACCTCATCATGGACACCCTCGCCGCCCTGGCCTTTGGCGGCGAGCCTGCGCTCCCGCGCTACATGCGCGAGGCGCCCATTTCCCGCGACACCGCCATCATCTCGCCCTACATGTGGTCATCCATCCTCTGGAACGGCATCGGCATCGCCCTCTACTCCATCTTCTTCCTCACCTCGGACATGGTCCACGACCTCTTCGACCGCGCCTACGTCTCGCCCTACGCCCCCGAGGCCGGCTTCCACGACGACGGCTCCGCCTTTAACGACGACGTCGCCCAGGTGGAGACCTCCGAAGAGCTCGCGCATCAGGGTGGCACCGTCTTCCTCACCGCCTTCTTCTGCTTCTTTGTCTTCCTCTGCGGCTGGAACGCCCTCGGCGTCCGCACCAAACGCCTCAACATCTTTGAGGGCGTGACCAAGAACATCGGCTTTGTCATCGTCGTTCCGCTCATCTTTATCGTCCAGGTCGTCTTCACCCTGTTTGGCGGCTCCTTCCTCCGCACCGTCCCGCTCGACTCGCACGAGTGGTGGCTCCTCATCGCCGCTACCTTCCTCGTCGTCCCCTGGGACATCCTCCGCAAGATCCTCCTCCGCCTCGTTCCCGGCGGTAAGCTGAAGGACGATTAACACCCCCCCCCCCCCTCCCCCAGCTCAGCCTGTGTGTGCGGCGGCGTTGGCTTGCGGCGGCTCTCGACACCAGCTCACTCGCGACAAAGAAAGAGGGCAAGATGTTCAGGGCCGGCGAGGGCATGTACGACATGACCCTCATGGACGAGGTGACCGAGGACACCTTTATGGAGAATCTCAAGACCCGCTTTTCCAAGGGCATTATCTACGTATGTGCACAGCGGTGAAAGGGCGGGGTGGCGGCGGGGAGTGGGGGCGGTGGGGGAGTGTGTGGCTTTTTCGACGGAACGCAGGTTTTTGACCGCACCTGGGGTGCGAAGGTGGGGGGGGGAGGGGGGGGGGGAGGAGGAGCAGGAGGAGCAGGAGGAGGAGCAGCAACAGCACCAGGAGGAGAAGTGAGTGGTGGTGCAGGGCATGGTGGTGGTGGTATGTGGGTGGGCGGTGTGCAGGTCATGGTGGTGGCGGGCGGGGGGCCAGGCAGTCGATGACAATGGTCGAGGTGGGGCCGTCGTTGACCATTAATGGCCATGGCTATGGAATGGTGCGCTGATGGACATCGCCGACGCCTGCTTCGACACTGGTCGGCGTGGTCACTCACTCACTCACTCACTCGCTCACTCGGTCGTTGCTGTTGTTGTTGTGGTGGTGGGCATGGCGTGCGGAGGACAGACGAACATCGGCGAGCAGATCGTGTCGGTGAACCCGTTCCAGTCGGTGGCGGAGCCGGAGATGGCGGACTTTGTCAACCAGTTCCAGTACGAGGTTCAGCCGCACATCTACGCACTGGCGGACGACACGTACCGGGCTCTTTTGTCGGAGAAGAGCGACCAGTGCGTGATCATCACGGGTGAGTCGGGGGCGGGTAAGACAGTGTCGTCGAAGATCTTTATGAAGTACGTGGCGTATGTGTCGTCGTCACGGGTGGGTGCGTCGATGGCAGACGCGGCGGCGTCGTCTGCGGCGGCAGCCGAGACGGAGCGGATCAAGAACCGGCTGTTGGAGTCGAACCCTGTGCTGGAGGCGTTTGGCAACGCCAAGACGCTGCGCAACGACAACTCGTCGCGGTTTGGCAAGTACATGGAGCTGCAGTTTAACTTTGCGGGCGCGCCCGTGGGTGGGCGGATCTCGCAGTATCTGCTGGAAAAGTCGCGGGTGGTGACGCGTGCCGAGGGCGAGCGATCGTTCCACGTCTTCTACCAGATGCTGTCGCAGCCGATTCTGATGTCGCAGCTGGGACTGACGCCGGATCCGGCGGCGTACAAGTACCTTGCGATTTCTGGGTGCTACGAGGTGTCATCGATTCGCGATGTGGAGGATTTTCTGGAGGTGCAGCAAGCGGTCAAGGTGCTCGGGTGGAACGACGACGACCTGGAGGAAGTGTTCAAGGTGCTGGGCGCCATTTTGCTGCTCGGCAACGTGGAGTTTGTGGACGACGCGGACAAGTCTGCGGAGCACAAGACCGAGTGCGTTTCTGTGGCCAACCAGGAGGTGGTGCTGCAGGTTGCGGATCTTCTTGCGGTCGATGCTGACTTTCTGATGGGCTCATTGATGTCGCGGTCGATTTCGACAGGCGTCGGGCGTCGGGCGTCGCAGATCACGGTGCAGCTGGACGGTGCGGGGGCGGCGGACACGCGCGACGCGCTGGCCAAGTTCCTCTACTCGCGGCTGTTTGACTGGGTGGTGGCGCGAATCAACTCTGAGCTCGAGCCGGCGCGCGGAGCGTACTCGGAGGCGGTCATCGGGATTCTGGACATCTACGGGTTTGAGATTTTCGAGGACAACTCGTTTGAGCAGTTCTGCATCAACTACTGTAACGAGAAGCTGCAGCAGTACTTTATCCTCAACGTGCTTCAGTCTGAGCAGGAGGAGTACGCGCGCGAGGGCATCACGTGGACGCCGATCGACTACTTTGACAACTCGCCGATTATTTCGCTGATCGAAGGTGCGTCGGCGCGGTCAGCATCGATCATTGCGCTGCTCGACGAGGCGTGCCTGGTGGGCAACACGACGACGGGGCAGCTTGTGGAGAAGTTTGCTAACGGGCTCAGCTCGTCGGCGCACTTTGAGGCTGCGGCCAACGGGGCGGACCGTAGCCTGACGGCGGAGCAGTTCCGGATTAAGCACTACGCCGGCGACGTGGTCTACTCTGCGGAGCTGTTCCAGGACAAGAACCGTGACGCGCTGTACCCAGACCTTGTCAACACGATGCACACGTCGAGCTCGGCCCTTGTGCAGGAGCTGTTCAAGGGCGACAAGGCGCTGGCGCAGTCGAAGCGGCGGCCGGTGACTGCAGCGACGCAGTTCAAGAAGGCTGTGTGCGAGCTCATTGCGACGCTGCAGGCGTGCTCGCCGCACTACATTCGGTGCATCAAGTCGAACGACGCCAAGCGCGGGCTGCACCTCGACGAGGAGCGGGTGCGGCACCAGGTGGTGTACCTCAACCTGGTGGAGGCGGTGCGGGTGCGAAAGGCCGGGTTCTGCAACCGGCAGCACTACACGCGGTTCATGTGGCGGTACAAGATGCTGACCGACGCGACGTGGCCGATCTGGCGCGGGTCGGACCGCGACGGGGTGGAGACTATTCTCAACGGGCTCGGGTGGCGCGGTCCGAGTACGAGCTCGGGACGACCAAGCTGTTCATCAAGAACGCATCGACGTTTATGCTCGTGGAGCGGATGCGGAAGGAGCGGCTGCCGATTGTGGCGGTCATGATCCAGAAGATCTGGCGCGGATACAAGACGCGGGTGTGGTTCAAGGAGCACAAGGCGATGATGCTCGAGCGGCGCGACCGGATGCACGCGGTGGCGCGGATTGCGCGCAACTGGCGGCGGTACAAGCTCAAGTCTGAGATGGGCAAGCTGGTGGACGCGTTTGCGAGTGTGGAGAACGATCCCGACTTTGGCAAGTTCACGGTCTGGCCGCGGCTGCATCGGTGGCTCGACGCAGTGGTGGCGCTTGCGCGCAAGGTGTGGAAGTACTGGTGGGCACGGTGCAAGGTGTCGACGCTGAGCGAGGAGGAACAGCTGCTGATGCGGCAGAAGATTGTGGCGATGGACCTGTTCTCGGGCAACAAGCCGTGGGACTGCGCGCGGCGGTACAAGGCCGACTACCTCAACGACCCGGCGACGTATCCCAAGGTCGCCGAGTACCGCATGGCGGTCGAGCAGCTGCTGACCGGCGGGAGCGACTCGCAGATCCTCTTCTCGGACGTGGTCAACAAGATCAACCCCAAGGCCAAGGCGCAGCAGCGGGTCATTGTCGTCACCGAGCGCAACATCCTCAAGTACGACCCGGCCAAGCTGGTGGTCAAGAAGGAGCCGATCCCTATTGTGCAGGCCGCGGCCATTGCCGTCTCGCCGAACAGCGACTCGTACGTTGTCATCAACATGAAGTCGCCGCTCCGCGACCTTGTCATCGACGTCGGCCTCGGCGGCGAGGAGCGGGTCTCGGAGCTCGTCACCGTCCTCTACGAGGCGTACCTGCGGCTGACCGGCTCGGAACTCCCGGTCCGGTTCGAGACCTCGATCACGTTCAACAACTCGCGGGTCTCGGCCGAGACCTCGGCCGGCGCGCTTGAGCTCAAGAAGCCCGGCGTCGACGCGGTCATCACCTTTGCCAAGGAGGGCGGCGAGCACCCCAAGTTCCCGCCCACTGGCTGTCTGTGGATCAAGGGCAAGCAGAACCAGCACGTTGTTTTCTACAAGTGAACGAGTTTATGCCTCGATGGAGGCTAGGTAGCCGACAGCGGTCATGAGCGAGGTGAGGAGGGCGACGTCGTTTGCCGAGTCGAGACCGTATGCGGCGAGGCCGCGGTCGTTGGCAGGAGCGTCTTCGGCGTCGGCGTCGTCGTCTTCGGCGCTGTCGACAGCAGCCTCGTCAGCGTTGGCGTTGAGGACGGAGACGACGGCGGCGGTGAGGAGGGCGTCGGGCGAGTCGAGGGTGGCGAGGAGACCCGAAGCATTGTCGGGCGTCAGCGCGCCGGCGAGGCGGAGGCGGTGGATCTCGCGCTCGGCGCGAAGGAGGTCAAGGCCCGAGACCTGCGCGGATGTGGTGCCAGGCGCGGCAGCCGAACGCGGCGGCTCGATGGGTGGCGCACGGACGTAAGGTGTGCGGAGCGAGGGCGGGCGCCAGCGGGTAAACTTGAAGCGCGGCTTGTCGGCCCACTGGAAAAAGTCGCAGCGCTGGCGGGCCGAGCAGACGAGAAAGATGCGGCCGTGGTTGGCGGTGTGGCGGGTGATGCGGCGGCGGAGGGTGGGGAGGCCGTGGACGCGGCAGCAGACTGAGGAGACCAGGTCGCGGGCATCGCCTTGGCTCTCGAGCGGGAGATCAGCCCAAACAAAGAGGCCGCAGCACGACCACTCGTCGTCGTTGGCGCAGGCCCAGTACGGGCGGCCGTGGTTCGGATGGTCGGGCCTTGACTTGGCCGACCGCAGCAACAGCGGCAACTCGCCGCACTCGCACGGCGGAAGCTCACAAATGACGACGTCGGGATCGGTCGGCGCGGCGCGCGGACGAGCGGCGAGCGAGGCTGCGCGGTAGCCGTGGCGCTTGCGGCGGACGGCGAGCTCGGCGGCGCTGCTTGCACCATCAGCGCCGTCGGCATTGTCGTCGTTGGCGGAGGCGTTTGCAGCCGCGATGGCGTCCTCTGAGACAAAGACCTTGTCGCCGAGCGAGTAGAGAACAAGCGGGGTGTCGTGCGGGAGAGCGAGGCGTGTGGCGAGGAGGAAGCGCAGTGGGAGCTCTGCGTTGTAGCCCGTGGCCAGCGAGACGTTCCAGTGGGCGAGGCGGTGGGCGCGATGAAAGGCCGGCGCGGCGAGGGCCTTTTCAGGCGCATCGTAGTGTGTGGCAACGACGGCAATGCACTTGCCTGGGACCGAGGGCAGGGCGAGGAGGAGGGCGCGGTAGTAGGCGCGGAGAGCGGCGTACGACTCGTAGTCTGCCGATGAGTAGAGGAGGACGGCGGCGGCGGGAGCCACACCTGCGGCCGCCAGTGCCTTGGACAGGGCTTCCACGGGGGCATTGGGCGCGAGTGAGACCTCGTGCAGCAGCAGCGACGAGGGCAAGGTGGGCGAGGAGGCCGACGAGGTGAAGGCGAGGCAGACGCCAGGGGCGACGACAACAGGCGCGGACGTGGGGGAGGGGGAGGGGGAGGGGGAGGGGGAGGGGGTGGCGGTGGTGAAGAACGTGGTGTAGGTCGACTTGCCCGTCCCGGGTGCGCCCACAACAAGGATGGGGATGGGGGCGGACATGGGTGGGGGGAGGGCGAGGAGAGGGTGCTGTGGTTTCTTTGGAGGGAATGGTGGGCGAATGGAAGAATGCGTGGTGGTGGTGGGGGGGTGGGGTGGGGTGGGGGTGGGGGTGGGGTGAAAAAATTGGGGAGTGTATCTGTGTATCTGTGTGTGTGTGTGGTGGGGGTGAGGTGGGGGGGGGGGAGGGGAGGAGAGAGGATGGTGGAGGTGGTGGAGGTGGTGGGGCTGCGATGGCATTGCGTCTGCGCATTGCGGCGGCAGGGAACATTCGGTGGTGGAGGGAGCTATATGTTCGGCGTGATGTCGTCGAGCGTCATCAACGCATGGCGGTGTTGCTGATGTCTTTGGTCGTTGTCACGACAGTGTGGGAGCATGTCGAGACGCAGCTGGTGACCGGCAATGGAAGGTGGCTTCCATTCAGCCTGTTCACGCTCCTCGCCACCTCTCCATCATGGCCTCCACCACAGCCACGACGGCGGCGACGGCGACGTCCATCCGGGTGGCAGGCGTGCCCGAGCACTTTAACGACCCGTGGCACCTTGCCATCGACCGCGGGCTCTTTGCTGCCCGCGGCCTCGCCCTCGACTTTGTGACGTACTCGGGCGGGACGGGGGCCATGACCCGGCGCTCCGCTCGGGCGAGGTCGATGTGGCTGTGGCACTCACCGAGGGCCTCATTGCCGACATCGCGCTCCGTGGCTCGGAGGACTACATCATGGTGGCGCCCTACGTGAGCGTTCCGCTCCGCTGGGGCGTCTGGGCGGCACCAGACTCGCCCATCACTTCGCTGGAAGATCTCGACGCCGGCCACGGGCCCATCATCTTTGGCATCTCGCGCTTTGGCTCGGGCTCGCACCTCATGGCCACCATCATGGCCAACGCGCGCGGGTGGGATCCCGAACGGGTCTCCTTTGCAAAGCCGTGCGGCTCGCTGGACGGTCTCGAGGCTGCTGTCGCCTCGGGCGCCGCATCGCTCTTTATGTGGAACCACTCGACGACCAAGCCGCTGGCGGATGCTGGCCGCCTCCGCCACGTCGGCGACTGCTTCACCCCGTGGCCCTGCTTCATGATCGCCGTCTCGCGTGCGCTCCTCGAGCACAATCGTCCCGCCCTCGACGCCATGCTCGCTACCATCAAGGACGCTGCCCGCACCTTTGTAGCCGAAGGCGAGGCCTCGGTCGACTTTGTGGTGAAGAAGCATGGCATCGCGCGCCAGGACGCTGCAGACTGGTTTGCTTCCGTCGGCTACGCAGAATCCAACCACATCGACGACGCCGTTCTCTCGTCGGCCATCACCGCCCTCCGCGCGACCAAGATCATCGACACCGTCCCTGCCCGCGACGACCTTGTCGCCGATCTCGGGCCGGCTGTCGTCGTCGAGGGCGGCCACGTCATCCCACCGCCGTCACATTGGGAGTATGCTCCCGCTGAAGACGAGTCGTTTACCGGCCTCATTTGCGCCGCCGCCTCACCGGTCTACGGCCTCAGCTGGGCCGAGTACGAGCCATCGTCGCCTGTCGCCTCGTCAGGCTCGTCGTTCATGGCCTTTATGTGAGCTCTCGGCGCGGCGTCCGGTGGCGATGGCGTCAGAGACGGTGGCGTCAGAGGCGATTGCGGTAAAAGATGGCCAGGGCGAGGGCAAGAAGGAAGAGCAGAGAGGCGAGGCCGCCGATGGACCAGTCGAGGCCAAAGGCGTCAGCGACACCGCCGGCGGAGAGGGCGCCGACGGCATAGCCAAAGTCGCGGACGCAACGGTAGATGCCGAGCGAGGAGGCACGCCAGGCCGGCTCGACCTCGTCGGCGGCGGCGGCCTGCATAGTCGGATAGACGGCGGCGGTGCCAAAGCCGAGGAGGACGGCGCAGAGCGACCAGAGAATGATGCGCTCCGAGTAGGAGATGTGGATCATGGGAATGAGCACAAAAGCGCCGAGGGCGATGGCGTTGGTGGCAAAGCCGAGGGCAAGGAACAGCCGGCGGCCGAGGCGGTCGGTTGCGCCGCCGAGGAACAGTTGCGTCCCGCCCCAGACTGCAGGATAGAGGGCGAGGACGATGCCGGTGGTGGCAATCGACACGTTGTGGTTCTCCTCGAGAAACTCGGGCGCCAGGCCCCACAGGATCGAGTCCTTGCACTTGTCCATGAGGCCCGCTAGGGCGACGAGGACAAAGTTCGGGTTGGTGGCAAGACGGATGATGGCCTCGGTGGCCGAGCGCGACGGTAGGCGTGACTCGCCGGCGAGCACGTCGTCGAGGGCGGCGGCATCACCGTTGTCGACACCGCCATAGGTCACGGGCTCGACTTTTGCGCCGGACTCGAGGAGCAGGGCGTCCGAGGCGGCGGCGTTGCCGGCAGTATTGGCCTGCTGTGCGCGGACAAGGTCCATAGTGTCGATGACAAAGGCCGAGGAGAGGAGGCCAAGGCCGCCGACTACAGCGCCGATGATAAAGGGCACAGGGCGGTAGCCGTGCTTGTCCGCAATCTCGGAGGCGACGGCCGACATGACCGAGACGGTCGAGTAGATGAGGGCCTCGCAGATGCCGACGGCGAGGCCCTTGCGCTCGACGCCAAACAGATCAATGACCATAAAGATGAGAGACGAGCCAATGAGGCCCTGCGACATGCCGAAGAGCACGTTGACGGCAACGACCAAGTCCCACGAGTTGGTGAAGAGGATGACGAGCGGGACCGGGAGGCCGAAGACAAAGCCGATGACAAGGGTCAGCTTGCGACCAAAGCGATCAGCAAGCTGACCCGAGACCACGTTCATCAGAGCCTTTGCCAGGCCAAACGAGACAATGAACATGGTCTTGGCTTTGTACGAGTCTTGTCCCCACACCGATGAAGCCATCAGCGGCAGCAGGCTCCGCTCCAGCCCCAGCACCGCGCCCATGGCCACAAGGCCGAGCACAAGCGGGAGGAATCGCCGCCCATTGGCGGCCAGAAACTCCCCGCTCGCCCGCCAGACCCGCCCCACCCATCCCATTGCCGAGTCACTTCAGAGATGCGTACTCTCGCCCGTCTCTGCCCCCTCCTCGCCTCACCGAGCCACGTCATCTCGCCCACCGCCGCTACCAGTGAGACGCCTGTCACGAGGTCTGCCACGCCGGATGGGGGGATCTTGGCGGATCTGCCATGGGCTGTGGGATTTGGTGGTGTAATTGTTGCCGTGGGGGGGGGGTGGGGGTACGAACGTAAGGCC